AATTAAAACTATGCATAAAATCGATTTGACAATCAAGATGAAAAATATCTCTACATGAGAAAAAATAGATACAGGTAGATATGAAGAGGGAAAATGACAGAAAGACGATGAGAGAAAGTTTTTATTTGTTTAAACAAATTAATCAGTCGAGAGGGAATATGTACAGATGAAATAAGCTTACTTTATACCATCATATAATCATTGATGTATCGGTGTTGAACAGACACCAAAGTGAATCGAAAAGATGTCATAAATTGGCAAGAAAAAAATAGAGAACACTTAATGTAGAGTCTATTAGAAAAGTTAATTTTGATTAATCACATCTCTTGTTCATTCCATTGTAGTGATACTGACTTTTTTGTCTGGCTCATATCATCATTTCTCTCTCGACTATCCATAAATATGTGTATAGTCTGCGAAAAGGTGAAATTCTGGACATAAGTAGTCATACAATCAATCGTATGATCGATAATGATTTTATATATTCACAGAAGAAATAATGATGGAACATTTCGAAATATTAAGTTTATTTGAAACTTTAAAAATTCAATAATAAATTATTAACATATGATTTGAAGGATTTGAGAGTAAGACAGCTTGTCCAAATGTAATGCTGCGACGTTTTTGACGCACTATTTTTCAATTATCTCAAAAGCCATGATAACTAATAAGATCGTTTAAACATCATTCGACGCAGCTTATCATACTCTACTCATGCTGCAAGAATGATCAAGTTTGGCTGAAGTCTTGGACTTCTAGAAAGGTTTTATCATTGCGTAATGCTGTGACAAAAAAAAGATTCTTCTTCTTTAGGCCGCTTATAAAACTCTAATTTTTTGAGGAAATCTTTCTTCAAATGAAATGCTTATAGAACCAGTTTTTTAGAGTATCCAATGGGCTTTCAAGCAGTAAAAAAAATTTTTGTTAAACCATTTTTGCTCAGATAAAAATGCAAAAAACCAACGCAATGCCGTGACGTTTTTCGTAACGCTATGACACTGTTTTTTGTCGACCAAATTTGAGGCACTTAACATGCTCAGAAATATTTAATTTTCATACAAATTGCTCACTGCCATATATATCGTTCTGTGAAAGAATCAAGTTGCTACATCGAAACGGGAGTTCATTAACTGTATAATTAGTAAGTTGGAAACTGTACAAGAACTTAGAAGTTGTCATTTTAAAGGATAAGAGCAAAAAGTAAATAGGCCGTTTTTTAGAGAATCAAATTCTGCATCGAATGATATATCCCTCAGCATTTTTTGAAAAAATTTCTTGCTTAGGAAATTCAGAAGACGATTGTTGAAAATTTTAAAATCCGATTTTCGATACCAAAAATACGTTTTTTTTAAAGAAAAAATGCCAAATTCGTAATTAGAGCAAAATGCTGCATATGACGATGCATTTAGATGTGTCCATCTCGAAAACAAACTTTCGAAAAACTTGACCAGTGAAGTGTCACGTTACGTGGACAAGCCGAAGAATGAACAAGATTCGACTGAATTTCGTATAATAAGCCGTTTCATATAGTCAATCAAGAAGTCTACTACAGAAGTTCAAAACAAGATTAAAACAGCATGGTTGTATTGCGTGAACTACGAAATTTTGGGATTGGTTAATTATTTGATGAACACGAATGAGGATAGTCCTTCTGATTTCTCCAATACTAAAGTACGACAGAATAATAATTCAGCAAACTACGACAATTTTTCAAACAAAGTGTTCGACTAGGAAGCTTATTTTACATTTCGCTGTATAATATTGAGGTTGTGTGATATTTCAATGCTAATGGCATCCGATAAAAAGACAACAAATTCTCCGGAATATCACGAAAGGAAGTGAGTAACCTTTTTCTAATGCTAAAAGATATTTCCATGTGGTTGTGAGTATGGGGTGTAGGTCAAACGAATTAATTTCCGACATCCACAGCAACCCGAAACCTACACACTTACTGATACTCTGCTCTCGAAACATAAAATAAGGGTAGATTTCACTGTGTACACAGACACGAGCATGGATCGCGGTTCTTCAGGAAGAACTAGCTGCGCCCTAACACCGTGACGCAGATATAAAAGGTTGGTTATGCTGGCAAATGTTTTCTTAAAATTCTTCAGTAATTAAATACAACTTTGGGTATGAGTATTGGTGTAGACGTTAGAAATCCATTCATTACATTAGTGTTCACATCCTACACCGAAAACCGACACCCACATTGACATGGGGGTATCTTTTAGCATGCGAAAAAAGCTACCCCCATGACTTTTGTGTTTCTATGAAGAATTTATTATATTTTGTTTTGCATGCTATTAGCATTCAATTTTTTCAATTTCTGATGATATTAATCTATTTTCGAAGGATGACACTCACGAGTAGTTATTAATGCTACAGAGAGTGTGAGTGTGGATGTGTAATAAACAAAATCTTCTACGCCTGGTTTCCTTCTTGTTTAAGGAACTCATCAGGTTTTATTGAGATCCTTGTATTATATTGTTTTACATAGATTGAACACATCATAATCATGAAGGACCACATGAAATAAATCTATTTAGTATATGCAAATATATTTAAGTTTTTGTATATTGTAGTTTTCCTGACAGCTTTAGTCAGACGATATCAGTCGACAATGTAAATCAATCGAAAACAGATCGATCTATCTCTTCAAGAAAAGACAAGTCCAATCTGTTAATCTCAACTTTTACTTTTCATCAATCGACTACGTAGATAAATATTTGTATGCCTTTCTAAAGCATTTAACTTTTATTTTAGCTCGACGACAATACAAGACGTCACCATAATATTGATGTGTTTCTCGATGAACTTGGTATTTCTTTTAGAAATCTTTTTATATAACTTCTTTTGTTTAGCTTCAACGTAATATTGATGGTGCTGTAATTGAATACACAAAAAGATGCATTTATGTGAACATAAATATCACTCGATCTATCTCCTCAATTAAGAAATGGACGAAATTAATCAACAAATCTTCATGTTGAAATAAATGAAACCTCCCTGTGTATGTTTTACTTGAATCGTTTCAATAAAAAATCTAAAATGTTCCTTTCTTTAGTATATAAGTGATTTACATAATTGAAAATTTTGATCATGAATTTATTGAAACAAGACAATTTACATACAAATAAATTTCATCCTATTTTAGTGAAATGTATCACAATTTACAATTCATTTCGTGACAGAAAAAAATAATAATTTATGCATGCAAATTTTTGTTAAGAATATATCTACAGCGATATCTATAGCCACAGACTTTCTCAATGGCTTTATTCTAATAACCAATACGAATAGAGACATCTATATAGACAAGAGATGTAATTTTAATAAAAATAGTTTTGTTATAAGCAATTTTTTTTCATATCGAAAGAGATCAACAGTTTGAGCGGATGTAAATAGGGCAGAAAACGAATACTGTGATATCTATGCTCAATGACAATGCAATCGATGCAGATAATAAAAGTGAAGCAATACGTGATGAAATGGTGCTTACATTAATTTATTGACATACTTGGATCAGTTTGAAATGACGAATCTACAAAATATATCAAATCGATCTGTATAAAATATGTAATCTTTTTTAATAATTAGTCAATGGAATTCATTTAATGAACTTGCTCGTTATTGTTTGGGCAGCAAGTATGTGTAACTTATCATTGATTAAGCGAAACTAAAATAAAAGTTGTTATTTTCGTATTAATAAAACTGATAGTCTCTTTTTTTGTGTTTATTTTATTTTTAATCGATGTAACCTTTTCCATATTATAGTAAAAATGTATTGGGCTTGTTTCAGTAGAATATCGAAAAGAATTTTAGAGATATTTATTTTTGAGCCAATATTAAATGCTGAAATTTTATATGATTACAATAAATTTTTGTTCGTTAATAATCAACCAAATCCTATAGATGATAATAGACTGGTATGAGAGTATTGCGTGACAGAAAGAAAAAAGAATTACAGATAGTGTAAGGCAGAAGTCCTAACAGTCTTAACAAAAACAGGTTAATATCCACCCATAACACACTATGAATATTTTTAAGCCGTTTCTGCTTATCATCCGTTTTCGTTGGTCTTGTCTGTATGTCATAACTTGTGTAAGATTTTTACAGACTAATATTATGAAAATAATTGAATGGAAACAAAAGACTGTCTTTCTTAGAAGGCAAGAGAGTTATGCACACTGGAATGACATGTTTCTATCGGATATTTATTGATTTCATACAGCATGTATTTGATCAGAATAGACAACAAAGAAAATAGAAATCATTACTATTTAGAATCTGTTTTTCTTCTCCTGGGAAGAAAAACCCTTTTTGAAGGAACATGATGAACTAATTGAAGATATAGCAAGTCCTACTGCGTTACAACAAACAATGTGGTGACAAACTATTGTTAGCTGTCATTGTATTCAGTCAAAGTGATAAAAATATTCTTTTTCTAGCTTAAAGAATGCAGTTTTTAATTGAAAATTTAGAAAAAAAACATGAAAAGCATGTACCCTATCTCGTCCGTGACAATCATAATAGCCTGAGTAAACGTCTGGCATCAATGATGTCATTCACGACATAGAAATCATATCGTAATAGAATATCTGAATACACTAAAGAAAATATTCTTCACAAACAAATGAATATTGTAAGAGATATGTACGATTGCTTTTTTATGCGGTATTCATACTGCATAATTGTCACATTCAGGCTGTATGTGACAAACACATATAAGAAATAACAAAAACTTTTTAAATCAAAATAATATCTTTTGTATTTCTTTTAGATGGTGAGTCAATATAAGCTATTGTAACATAATAGATCATCGTATATAATTTTTTCCTCTTCTAGTTACCTTTGACACTTCTTCGAACTGCTGTTTACCATCCTATGGTGAGTAACGTATTGAAATATAATTTTATAGTAATAGTTTGTATTAACAGTTGGTGGAATTAAAAAATGGTGAAACATATAATGGACATTTGATTAGTTGTGATAATTTTATGAATATTCATTTACGTGATGTTATTTGTACTTCTCGAGTAAATTATCGTGTTTTCCTTTTTTAAATTAGACATCGTCTTAATTGTATCTGTAGGATGGTGATCGATTTTGGAAAATTCCTGAATGTTATATACGTGGTAATACTATCAAATATCTTCGATTACCCGAAGATATACTTGGACTTGTCAAAGAAGATACTAATGAAAAATCAACACGTTCTGGACCGCCAACACGTCGTCCATTTCGTGGTCGTGGCGATGGTGGACGTGGAGGTAAAATAGAAAACAAAAAAGAATTTAATAATAATTCACTGTCGATGATTTTCAAAATTAATAGGACACGGTGGTCGATCTGGAGGCTCTGGTGATCATCGTAAAAGTGGTGGCAGTGGTGGTCGTGGTGGACATCAGGGATCGCGTGGTGGTGGCCGTGGTGGTCAACAAGGTGGACAACTTCGTCAAGGACGATAGAGTATGAATAGCAATGATAACAATGATTCTCATCAAAGTTTAACATATCGTGTTCATTTTTTTCTTACTCAGATCAACAGCTCGAGTGAAAGACATTCTTTAGCTTATTGAAAAAACTGTTTGTCTTCTTTTTTTTTTTTGAATTAAATCATTGTAAAGAGATGTGAGTATTGGAGTTTACTATCAGTAAATCAATAAGTTAGATGATGAGAATATTGACATGTGCATAAAATAGTTAACGAAAACGAACAAACTTGAATCTTTCTTCACAAATCAACGATAATCATCAGGCTTTAATTGATCGTTTTGTTGTCTTATACATTTTGAAAAAAAACTATGAACCGATATAATTTAGCAAAATTTGATAAAATTATTCCATGTCATGTTCAATAGTTCTATCTTTTATGAATATTCTTGATCCAAATTATTCTAACTATATTTTTATGGCGAAAAGCAAAATGATTGTAGGCGAGCTCGAATATTTAATTTCAACGATGAATACTGATGATGTTTATTCTCTTGTATCGAATTGAGGTTCATCAAACTAATTATTATTAAATGAAATACTAGACAGTGATCAAAGGGGGTGTTCTGAGTAGGAGTGGTCCCCAACCTTGAAAATTTTTTTTTTTATTCAATCTCTTATTGTTGTATTTGACTCAACAATTCCCAAAACAACACATAAGAACTCCCATATCCGAAATACACAGTTTTGTAGAGAAAAACTAAAGCTATCATGTGAAAATAAAATAATTAGAATTGACATCATGAAAACTTCTGGTTGGTTTATTGATCATGACTAAATATTTTATATCTTACATTTTGTTTTTGCAAAAACAGATATTTTTACATGATTCAGTAGAGTTCGATAGGCTCTAGGAGAAAATGAGTATCACAAAGATTCTGATCTTGTTTCCAATATAAAAAATCGAAGAAAATCAGAAAGATTAGTAAAAATTTCATGTATCCAGCATTCGAGAGGCAGAACTGAACTTTTAATAACTTTAATCGATCAATTGCTCCGCCAGTTCATACAGCGTATAAAGGTTATTTTCAGCTTCAGTATGTCATACTACATCTCGAAACATCAATTATCAGTCGAGCAAGTCATTTTATTGAAAGTTAAGAATACTCTCTCGTGCGATGTGTGTTAGATTTATATTATTTTATCTGGTTTAGTCCACCTTTTGAATTGGAAAAAAAAATCAGATGTTTTGTCTTGATAGTCATACTCTTGTAGAGCTTGTCGACCTCTACCAAATCATGTAGAAATATATTTGTTTTTGCCAAAAAAATGGAAGATGTAAAATGTTTAATCATGTTTAATAAAGACACCATAATTCTTCATGATTTCAATGATAAAATTTAGTTGATTTCATAATATGGTCAAAAGTGTTTTAATAAAAGATCTTCTTTTCTTTTTAATAATGAATAGAATCTCATCAATGATGATTTCTGAACAATTAAACAAAAAAGAGATTAAAACTCAAATAATAATTATCAATTGATGAAAACTTATGAAGAGAATTAATTACAAGAACATCTATTCAAACCAATCAATTTTAATAAACAATTAAAAACGACATCTTTATTCTCCTATTGGTTACTTATGGATTTGCTTTTGTTTATATTCTAGATAATATCCAACTATAATCATTGAAAAATTTGTACTCAAAAACAATCTCACGAGGATAAACAGCTGACAGATATGTATCATATGGATGATTGTTGCTTTCTTATTCTGCGTCATATCAATTAGATCCATTCATTTTCTTTTTATAGGACCGAACGCACATATGACTTTATCTCATATATATGTCCTTCATATTTTACGTTTATCTATTTTTCTAGAATTTTTCTGTAAAAAAAAAACAAAAACAAACAATAACTATGTCTTCAATATCAAATCCAACGACAACAACAGCAACAACAGCTCAACGTCGTTTAATGCGTGATTTACGTGATTTAACACAAAATCCCGTTGAAGGAATCAATGCAGCACCCGTTAGTGCGGATAATATATTTCAATGGAATGCTATATTAGATGGACCTGAAGATAGTCTTTTTGAAGATGCAAGTTTTGTTTTAACACTTAAATTCCCACAAGATTATCCAAATCATCCACCTGATGTTAAATTTGTTACAAAAGTATTTCATCCAAATATATGTAAGATTTTCTCTTGTAAAAAAAATCTATTTTTTTGAAAGATATTTTTATTTTTATTTTATAGATATGGATGGATCAATTTGTCTTGATATATTACAACAACGTTGGAGCGCAAGTTTAGATGTATCAACATTACTTGTTTCAATTCGTTCATTATTAACAGATCCAAATCCAGCTTCGCCAGCCAATTCTGAAGCAGCTATGCTTTATCAAAATCATCGTCGTGATTATGAACGACGTGTACGAGAATATATCGATCAACAAATTATGGAAGATGATGATAACGATGAGGGTGAGCATGGAAAATCGGCAACGGATAAAAAAAGTAATGTTGCAACAACAACAACAACTTCACCACCTCCTTCTGCCAGTGACTAGTCATTTGTTGTTGTTTTTCTTTAATATAAACAAAAAACAATTCATCAACAGTGTATGTGTATATATATATATATCTTGATTTTCGCGTATGGGTTTTGTTTCATTTGCATATAATACTGCTGCGTAGTTTGTATCTCTCATATGACGAATATTTTTTTTGTCTCATTTTTTTTTATTGTCACATACAGAAGAAAACAATATATATATAAACGAAATGAACAACACAATAAAAGAACACGATGTCTTTTTTATGTATCTATTCGGAGATTAACTGTAGGATAGAATGAGAAAAGATTATGTATGAGAATGTTTTGTATACGTTCGAGTAAACATTGATTAGTTGTAATATGAATTTGATTTTGATTATCACAACGTTCGATTTTAATTAAATTTTTATCTTTAGTTCTTCCTAATGTAAGATTATAATAATCAAGTCGTTCATAAAATAATGAATGCAAACAAATTAATAATCTTTCATAAAGTCCATTTGGTAGAAAATATAAATTTCCATTAATAATTTTAATCATATGAATTAAATCTTGACTAATAATTTGAGAATCAAGTATTTCAATTTGATCAAATGATGGCAAATCTTCAATTGTTATTTGAAAATGTTCTTGTGAATAATTCTTTGCATTATCTTCTAATAAATTTTTATTCAACATATTTTTTTGGTCATGATCCATAGCAAGCCATATTTGATATTGTTTAAATCGTCTTTTTTGTTCACATTGAAGATTTTCATATGAACGTTTTTGTTCAATTAATTTAAAATAATCCTTATAATTAATATCAAGTGTTTTTTCATTCATTAACCATGGACAAACAAAATAAGGTGTTGTAAATTCTCGATCTAAAATCAATTTAAAACAAAAGAAAAAAAGAATTCATTTAACAATATTTTTAAATTCTATTTTCTTACAATTTGAGTTTGATTCATTTAAATAACCAAGATATAAATGTTCCATCAGATGACAAAAATCAATAACTTTTTGTTCAAGTAAATTCATACTATTATCATTTAGTTCATAAAACAAGACATTAAGCATATTCCATGTATATTCACCACGTGTTAATAAACGTTGTCGATCAATATTAAATAATTCTTGTGTTTGATAATAACCAGAAAAATGAAATATCATATTATCATCATAATTTAACCATTCATTAATATGAGGACGAAATATAGTACGACATAAAATATTATTTAATAAATAATAAGGTTTAACAAGAATTGTTTTTGGAGAATTTTGTTCAAAACAAAGAATGTCACCTGTTATTTTTAAATAATCAAGACATTCATCAAATGTCATTTGATTTATTTCTTGTTCAATGGATTCATTTTTTTCGTTATCAGATAAGACAGATAATGATTGATTTTGTTGTTGTTGAAAACGTTTTAAACAAGTATCATAATCGATTATTGAAGAATCTGATTGAATAAATCCTAAACGTCGTTTAAGAACTTGACGTTTTCCTTTATGATGTATAATATTCCATTGTTCGGCAATTATTTCTAATATTTCAATATATGCTTCTGATGTTTCTTCTTTATCTAAATAAATTGGTTCGGAAAAAAATTCTGAATATAAATTAATATTTTTGCGTTGATTTTCTTCATCAGTTAAAAACATATTAACTTTCGAATGAATTTCATCAAGAAGTTGTTGTTGATGATCATTTGATCCTAGTTGGCTATTCATTATTAATCCAACAATTGCAATTGATGCTTGTTGACAATGATCAGATATAGATTCAATATAACGAAATATATGACTGTATAACCAATCATTTGTCAATAAAGAATCATAATCAATAATTGATATATGATTTTCATTGCTAGATATTAAAAAAAAAGAATTTTTAAGAAATCTAATTAATTTAAAATTTATAATTATATATACACTCATGGGAAAAAATAATTGTATAGAGAGTGGGCCATAAGTAACTATGAGATAAAAAAATTGAATATCTTCACTTCATTTCAATCAAATGGGCTGGATTTATGTCAATGATAGATAACTATTAAAAGTTTTCTTCCATAAGATGAACATGACGAAAAATTGCTTTGAACCATTATTATTGACTTCTATAAAGAAATCTGAAATAATGTTGGCTTCAAAAGAAATCATTTACATGCGTTGCAATCTAAAATCGTATGACGCATTGTTTTATCCAGTATTAATTAAATCGGGAGCATTCCTCTATAATTAAGAAAAAAAATTAATCTATCTTGGTAGGACATAATGAACTTGTGATAATTTTCTTTTCACAATTAAGTAGCATTTAGAATTCAGACAAGATGAAATTTCCTTATTGAAATCGATAGTAATAGCTCAAAGCAAGTGTTGCCTATGTTTATCTTATGAAAAAAAGACGTATGATCCTATCATTGATACGAAAATCAGCTCTTTTGATTGAAATGGAGTAACGATATTCAATTTTTTTTATCGTA